TTGGCCGGTCACTAGTCTAACCTTTAGTGGTGGGTTAAGGTCGTGATAGAGTGGTATCAGAGTACGAGTTAATTTACCTACTCACTCGTCTATTCGAGCAATAGGATGTCCAGAAAGGATTAAGTTTTGCATTCATCTTGTAGGTATGTGATATAAGTTGTGCATCTATAAATGTTAATATGTGTACATATTTTTCTGTGTGTATCATAATACATGTTCATATAAATCATGGTGAGAACTAGATCAGATGAAAGAGGGGAATCTTCCTCCACCTAGCTTGATAGGCTAGAGAGAATGATGAAAGGAATGGTTGAAACTCTAAGGAAACAACAACAACCACCACCACTGCCACCACAACCTATACCACCACTAGTTCAGAATAATCAAGTGGATGATCATACTATTGCTCTTATAAAAGAATTCAAAAAGATGAAACTGCCACCATTTTGTAGAGGAGTAGATCCATTGAAAGTCGAGGCATGGGTTCTCGAAAAATAAAAATTGTTCAAAGTCTTTTCTATGCACTAATGCACAAAAAGGTAATACTTGCTACATTTACCTTTGAAAATGAAGCTAGACGATGGTGGATGTTGGTGAGGAATGCAAAATAGGGGAATCAATTAGGCTCAATTTTTGGAGATTTTTTTATGAGAAGTGTTTTCCGCAATTCATCCAAGATAGAAAAAGGTGTTAGAATTTGAGAGATTGAGGCAAGCCAACCAAACAGTGGCAGAATATGAAGCACAATTTATTGAGTTAGTGAGGTTTGCGCCACATATGGTTGATATAGGTTATAAGAAGGCCAGGAAATTCGAAGGACTCCATGATTCCATCCAAGAAAGAATTAATGTGTTGAAGCTGCCAAAATATGTTGATGTTTTGGATATAGCTTCAATGTCCGAATCAAATATAGTTGCACAATACCGATCTTCAGAATGGAGGGGGATAGAAACAAGGTTACAATGCTAATAAGCGACCGGGATCAACAATGAATAAAAAGTCAAATTTGGAAGCATCTAGCAATTCTAGTCAAGAAAGTAATTATGCACTGACCTGCCCAGATTGTGGAATGAAAACATTGGGGAGTTTGTTATTAAACTTCAGGGCATGCTTTTACTGTGGAAAGGTGGGTCATTTGGCTAGGAATTGTCCACAACCTCGTCAAGCAAGTAATAAAGTTACTGCAAGTTCATCTGGTTTAGTTTCAGTAATAAAGCCTAATGTAACATCCACCACAGGGAAAGAAAATTTCAGATAAGGGAGCGTGTTTGCGCTTGTACCAGGAGACACCCAAAATATTGAAGTCATTGTCTCAAGTACCCTTTTTGTTTGTGAACAAGATGCTTATGTACTAATTGATTCGAGTTCCACACATTCCTTCGACTCAACTTATTTACTCATAAATTGAATAGACCATTTGAATCTTTGAATTATGTGTTATGTGTATCTTCACCATCTAGGGGATGAATGTTATGTACATCCATATATCTTGCATGTGAAATTTTAATTGGGGGTGTCACATTATATGTTGATTTACTATCTCTAGATATGGGTCACTTTGATGTAATTTTGGGAATGGATTGGTTATCTAAATATTGTGCAACTATAGATTGTGTGTCTAAAAAAGTTATCTTCTGACCTCTGGGAGAACATGAATTTTCTTTTGAGGGTAATGGGGTAGTTGCTTCACCTTTCTTGATATTATTTATGAAAGCTTGTAAGTTACTCAAGAAGGGATGTCAAGGATATTTGTGCAGTATTACAAAAGATAGACAACAGATGAAAGCTTAAACAACATTCCAATAGTCAGAGAATTTCCTGAGATTTTTCTAGAGGATTTGCTAGGTAAATTGATAGATTGAGAGATTGAATTTGTCATTGATGTGGTACTAGGCACCCAACCAATTTCGAAAGCTCCATATAGAATGTCAACAACAAAAATGAAGGAATTGAAGGTTCAGTTGCAAGAATTGCTTGACAAATACATCACCATGGGAGCACTAGTTCTTTTTGCAAAGAAGAATGATGGAACACTTCGGCTATGTATTGATTATCGAGAACTAAACAAGGTAACTGTAAAGAACAAGTATCCTTTGCCTCGAATTGATGACTTGTTTATCAGTTATACGGAGCACAAGTGTTCTCCAAGATTGATTAGAGATCCAGGTACCACCAATTGAAAGTTAAAGCTAAAGATGTAGAGAAAATGCTTTTCGAACCAGGTATGTACATTACGAGTTTTTGGTCATGCCGTTTGGAGTCACAAATGCACCTACAACTTTTATGGATTTAATGAATCAAAATTTTAAGTCATTTTTGGATGAATTTGCGGTCATGTTTATAGCTGACATTTTGATTTATTTGAAACACAAGGAAAATCATGAAAAACATTTGAGATTAATTCTTCAAACACTTAGAGATAAGAAGTTATATGCTAAATTGAAGAAATGTGAGTTATGGTTGAATGAAGTAGTGTTTTTGGGTCATGTGATTAACAAGGATGGTATTTCAGTTGATTCGCAAAAGATTGAAGCTATTGTAAATTAGCCTACACCGACTAATGTGACAGAGGTCTAAAGTTTCATGGTTTTGGCAAGATATTACAAGAGGTTTGTTAAAGACTTCTCGAAGATCACAATATCACTTACTCAATTGACTCAGAAAGGTGTGCCATTTGAAGGACATACCAAAGAGAATTTTCTTTTCAAGAACTAAAAACAAGACTAATTACAACACTAATCCTTACATTGCCATTAGGTACATAAAGGTTTGTTATTTTTAGTAATGCATCGTATAAAGGTTTGGGTTGTGTTCTCTTGCAGAATGGAAAAGTGGTTGCCTATGCTTCTCGTTAGTTAAAGCCCCATGAAAAAAATTATCTGATTCATGACTTGGAGTTGGCCGTTGTGTTCTTTGCATTGAAAATTTGGCACAATTACCTCTTTGGAGCAACATGTGAAGTCTGCATCGACCACAAGAGTTTAAAGTACTTTACTCAAAGGAAGTTAAATATATGACAGAGAAGATAGTGCTCTTAGTAGAAAATCAATGGGAAATTTGGCATGTTTGCTTTCAGGACAAAAAGATTTGTTAGAAGATTTAGAAGATAGAAGTTGTGCTTCATGAACAATGTGGAGTGTTAGCTGCAACTTCAGCACAACTGACAATAATAGAAGAAATTAAGTAGAAGCAAATAGAGGATGAATTCTTCAAGAAAGTGTGTGATGAAATGGAGTCAAAGCCAAAAATGGGGTTCACTTTAGAAGATCAAGTATTGAAGTTTCAAGGCAGATTGTGTGTTCTAAATATTCCAGAAATGAAAAAAAGAGTCTTGGAAGAAGCTCACAAATCAAAGTTTGCCATGCCCCCATGAAACTCCAAAATGTATCAAGATCTCAAACAAATTTATTGATGGTCTAACATAAAGAAGGAAATTGTTGAATTTATTTCTAATGTCTTCAGTGTCAATAAGTCAAAGTGGAACATCAAAGACTGACAGGGTTACTTCAACCTTTCCTTATTCTAGAATGGAAGTGGGAGCACATAACCATGGATTTCGTTGTTGGATTACCTCGGACACCTAGAGGTAAGAATTCTATTTGAGTTATAGTGGATAGATTAACTAAGTATGCTCATTTTTTTCCTGTAAGATCGTTCTATAATGCGGATAGACTTGCTACTATTTACATAAATGAGATTGTCCGATTGCATAGTGTGACAATTTCTATTGTATCAAATAGGGATCCTAAATTTGTGTCTAGATTTTGGCAAAGTCTACAGAAAGCAATGGGAATAGAGTTGAGATTCAGTACTACATTTCATCAACAAATAGATGGTCAATCAGAAAGGACTATACAAATTTTGGAGGATATGCTTTGTATGTGTGCATTGGATTTTCAAGGGAGCTGGAAAACCTACCTACCGTTGGCAGAATTTGCTTATAACAATAGTTTTGAGCCTAGTATTAGTATGACACCGTATGAGGCTTTATATGGGAGGAAATGTAGGTCACCGGTGTGTTGGACAAAGGTTTGGGATAGAGCTTTGTTTAGACCAGAAATTGTACAAGTAACCACCAAGAAGATCAAAATTATTCAACAATGGCTCAAGATCGCCCAAAGTTGCCAAAAGAATTATGCCAACCAAAGAAGAAGAGATATAGAGTTTGAGGTTGGTGATCACGTGTTTGTGAAAGTAACTCCAATAAAAGGGCAATCGAGGTTTGGGTTAAATCAGTCCATTTCAGATAAAGACATGGTACAGTGGCTTATCGTTAGCTTTACCACTTGGAATGGAACAAATGCACAACGTATTTCATGTTTCGTTGTTATGGGGCTATCTTCGGAATCCTTTTCATGTCATTCATTATCATCGAATAGCACTTGATGATGATATACAATATGAAGAAAAACCGATTCAGATTTTTAACCAACAAGTCAAGCAACTGAGGAATTGATCAATTCCTATGGTTAAGGTAGAATGGAAAGAGCATTATGGAAAAGAAGTCACTTGGGAATGGGAAGATGAGATGAGACAAAGATATCTGGATTTGTTTCTGATACGAGATAACACAAGTTTGGAGGACCAAACTTTCTAAGAGAGAGATTTTGATAACCACATCTTGCATATCATTTTACATTCATTGGATTGTAGGAATTTTAATCTTAATTGCATTTTATGTGTATGTGATTGTATGTGAATTATTTGTTTGGAGATTGTTATTTGCATGAATTTAATAGGTAGAGCCTAATAAGAACCCAATTAAAATATGTAAGTGAGATTAGTATTAATCAAGATTGATTAAATTAGGATTTAATTGGAATTGATTAAATTAATGAAGTCAAGTGTTAATTTTGTTTAATTAAGAGTAAAGGATGGTTAATCAAGATAATAGGTGATTAGTGAGTTACTTAAGGTAATTCTAATTCTATTTAACATATAAGTGAAGAAGAGAAGTGAAGAAGAGAGGTTTGAGTTTTCTTTATACAACATTTGGCTAGAGAAAACAAGAGAATGTGTGAGAAAGTTCAACTTTGAGCTGAAAATTGGGGGATTAACAGTGAATTGAAGAAGAAATTCAGTAGAAGAAGAAGAGAAGCTTAATTTCACCAAGTAGTTCAAGAATTCAAGACTTTATGTAAGAAATTGAACCTTAAATCTTGTAGTTAATTCTTCATACACTATGTATTAAGAAATAAATAGAATCAATTGCTTGTAATTTGAAAGAATATAGAATGAAGATGGTGAATTTGAGCTAGAATCATGAGTTATAGAGTTAATTTAGAAGTCTATTCATTTAGGGTTTGAATTCTTGTTGTCTTGCATGAAATTGAACTCATGTCCACATGTGTGGAAGTTTTTAACTTGTAAATTTTTAGAAATTCATGAAGTTATGCTTTTAATTTCATGTTTTGAACATCAAAGGAGAAAGAGTTTGAAAACATAGCATGCATGGCATTTTGGCTCATGTTTTGACAAATTGAAGGAAGTTTTGAGTAATTGATTGGAAATTGATCATGTTTATATGTATTATAAAGTATTATAATGATTTTGGATGAGCCATGCATTAGCCTTAGCTTTGAAATTTCGTTTGGAAGCCTTTTGAAATATAATTTCAAAACCAGAGTTTTTACAGACAGCTAGAGTGATCTATCTACCGCTTGAGCGAACTTTTGAGACAACCAGAATATATTTTGCAGACAAAAATACTGTGACCATGCATTCACCACTCGAGTGGTGAAGAGATTGCTCAAATGGAATGCCCTGTTTTAGCATATTTTGAAATGCATCACTTTGTTCTTACTTTCTTTCCTAACCTTTTTCTAATCATCTTTAGGCATGAAGTAAGGGTAAATAAGAAATAATAACATAAGTTAATCAATTAGAAGAGAATAATTAGAATTTGATTAGTTGATGAGTGTTATCCATGTCTGTGTATGTGTGATTGTAGGTTGAGCTTTGTTAAGGATCTTTGGAGTCAAGCTTACTGCGAGCAATATCTTTGTAAAGTTATGTTTGTATGTATCTTTGAAAAATGTTATGAAAGTGATATTTTATGAAATTCAGAATTTGTATGAATGAATGAATGTCCTTTTTGTTAAATGTGCTTGTGGCATCCTCTAGTGAGTTCCAGCCAGTGGGAGACGTATATGTACCATGGCCTTTTGATTTGTAGAGATCTCCCTTTGATTCGCAAACTTGAATGGTCCCTTTATATAGACCAGAATGGTCCATTTGATTTAGGCCTAATTTGGCCCTTTGCTTTACTCTATTGGATGTTACCACGCATTATGTTTTGAGAATGGAATTTATTCATAACAAATGCTTTGTTTTGTGAATATGAATTATGTTTTGATAATATAATTGGAGTTCATTCATTAACCACTTTACTCTAATGTTACTCAGCCGTAGAGTCTGCTACAGAGTCTACCCTTTAGAGAAGCCAGCAAGGATGCGCCTCCAAGTTGAGGCTTTACCTTTGTTCTGCTTTTGCTTTGTCATATTTTGTCAAGTCATCTATATGAACTTTTGGATATAGCTATGTGTCGATGTTGTACTTAATGTATTGTAAATATTATAAGTTATGAAAGTTTGTGTGGTTTAAAATTATATGTCATTTATGCACTGCTCAGTGGACTATTTATTGTTTGTTAGCTTTCGCTTCAGGCCCCAATATATTAAAAATTTTGTGATCTATCAAGTTAGACAGTCGATACTTTATGATTACTGGCCGATCACCGCTCTAACCTCCAGGTGTGGGTTAGGGTCGTGACACAAACAATCCATTGGCTACAAGTCGGTGTTCAAATTAAAAAGAAATTCAAATGGTTGTATTGCAAGACACAAATCTAGGCTTGTGGCAAAGTGTTTTTTGCAACAACATGGAGTTGATTTTTAAGACACTTTTAGTCCCGTGGCCAACCAACCAACGATTTGAATTTTGTTATGTCTTATTTTGCATCATCAATGGCCTCTCAAGCAATTGGACATTTCCAACGGTTTCCTTCATTGTCTATTGGAAGAAGAAGTGTACATGGAGCAACCACCTGGTTTGAAACAATCCCCAAGAGCTTGGTACTTGACCTTCTCCTTTTTCAATGTTTAACTTTTATGTGACTCATCTCTCTCTCTCTCTCTCTCTCTCTCTTTGTGCCCAAGACTCCATCCTCCATCACGTATCTTCTCATATATGTCGATGATATTCTTCTTATAGGCAATAATGAGTCTTATATTCAGTCTTTTTTGGATATTTCACATTTTCTGGGCATTTCAGTTCAACCTTGTTCCTCAGACTTCTTTCTTTCTCAACAAAAATATTCAGCTGAACTTTTGGTCAAAGCTAGCATGGTTGATTGTAAGCCTCATGCAACACTAGTTTCAGCAAAGCCTTCCCTATTGACCACTGATGCTTTTCCTTGCACTAACCCCTCTCTTTATAGAACCATTGTAGGTGCTCTTTGATATCTTACTAGCACTAGACCTGAGTTGTCTTTTTCTGTTAATCAAGCTTGTCAGTTCATGCACTGTCCCACCTTAGGCCATTTTTCTGTAGTCAAACAAATCCTAAGATATGTCAATGGCACTCTTTTATACGGTCTTGTTTTTAATCCCAGTTCCTTTCATCTTTTTTTTTTGATCGGCAAAGAAAAATTCCATTAAAAACATGAAATTTACAGGTACAAGGAAATAAAACGCATTGAGAGAGATTTGAAGAGTAAACACTCACTCTCCTACTACTACTACTCGCATTCTAACAACCAACCCCTAGCCTCATAATTTTAAATTTTAAAATACAACTAAAAAATAAAATATACCATACACTTGAGCCCCACCTAAACCACAGCTACTCCCTCTTGGAACACCCCACGCCTGACTCAAACTCTTGATACACTCTTGAGCCCCACGCCTGATACACACTAGATGCACTGCTACACACTAGATGCACTGCTACACACTTGATACACTCAACCACCATACTAGCCGGACACACAGACTCCTCCATTGCCGTCGAGGACCACCCATGGCCGAGCCTCCTTTGCTTCACCTCTGAACATCGACAGCCTCTGCTTGCACCATTCAGTCACCTCTTCTTGCTTCCTTCTCCTTTTCACCGTGACCCAAATATCACCCTCCAATGTAGACGCCTAGCTTATTCTTGCTACACTCTCCTCTTCAAGCTTAACCGAACACAAAAACCGGCCACCAAAGGATTGAAACGGAAAACATCCCTCAAACTCCCACTCGCACGGAGCGCTCGAATGAAGATCCTAAACACCTCTGGATCCTCCACCCCTCAAACTCCCTCTCGCAGTGGAGTGCCTGAATGAATTTCCTGAACCAACCCACCCTTGGTCAACGCAAACCACCCAAAACCGAAACCCAAGGCCAAAGCAGAACACCAAGCACCACTGACACCGAACCACTTCAATCGAGAAAAGAATCCGCCAAAACCACCCTACAAAGCTTCCAAAACACCATAAACCCACAAAGTGAAGATAGATCTAAAACCCCCAAGAGATAAGCAGCTAACAACCCCAAGGAAAACTTGAGAACACAAATAGCCTAAACAAAAACGAACGGATAAAACCAGCACCCCAAGCAAATCTAGAGGTTAGATCTGAAAAGGAAGAAAACTAGAAAACAAAAGGGGCTCAAGATTATTAGGAGAACAAACAACAACACAAAGAGAGAAAGCTAGGCCAGCCAACCGCCATGGCCGAAGGTGGCGGCCGGCTGGCCAACGGTGAGGCCGAGATCAAGTTCCTTTCATCTTAATGCTTATATTGATTCCAATTGGGCTAGGGTTTCTAGTGATTATAGATGTACCTACTGTGTGTTTTTATGCTCTAGTCTCATTTCATGGTATTTCAAGAAGCAATCTACTGTTTCTAGGTCCTCCACTGAGGCTGAGTGTCGATTCTTCGCTCACACTGCTACAGAAGTTACTTGGTTATAGACGCTTCTCCATGGCTTTGCCATTCCTCAGCCAGCTCTTCCAGTTCTATAGTGTGACGTGTCTGCTTTATCCTTGTCTGCTGACCAAGTTTTTCACAATATATCCAAGCACATTGAAGTGGATTGCCATTTTGTATGAGGGAAAGTTGCAGCTCATAAATTGCAGCTCAAATACATTCCTACTTTAGATTAGTTGGCTGACATTTTCACCAAGCCTTTGTCCACTGCCAGGTTCTCTTTTCTTGCATCCAAGCTTCAGATTGGCTTTCCTCCCTTGAGCTTGAGGGGGAATGATAAGGAAGACAACACAAAGAGACTCACGGACTGTCCAAGTAGAGGAATAACTCTCATGTAACTGAATTAGTTAGCTTAGCTATGGTAAGATGGTTAGTTAGTTGAGTATTTGTATATATATTGAATAGGGTTGTGATGGATCTTGAGTGTGAAGATATTTTTGATCAATCTCAGTTGTTCATCATCTATGTTGTTTCCCATCGGGCAAGAATTTAAAAATATTTTATTTTATGGTGTTTAACTAAGAAGGAAGATAGATAGAAAATTATATTAATTACAAAATAAAGGCAATTTTCATGCTTCTTAAAACTGTATTCCCCTACCCACAACATATAATTATTAAAATTATTTGTTGTACATAATTAATAGGGTAAATTATTAAAAAAAATAAATAAATAATCCAGTGTTTGAGATTGTAACAAAATAAACCTCAATTTTTAATTTTGTAAATTTAAATCCAAACTTTTGATTTGTTTTCAATCTGAACCATTTATCTATTTCCTTTAAGAAAATTCAACGGAAAAAATAGGTAATTTAGTTATTAAAAACTTAATGAAAATAAGTATTTAAGATATTTTATGTATACATACATTGAGTTTAATGATTATACTACTATAGTTTTCATTGATTTTTTAACAAAAATAGACAAATGGTTTAGATTGAAAATAAATCAAAATATTATGGTTTAAATTGATAAAATTAAAATCTTAAGGTTTATTTTGTTACAAGGGTCAAACCATAGGTTTTCTTATTTTATTTTATTTTATATTTTCGTAATCATCCCTAATTAGTACTATATATTTTCATGATTATGAAATAGGAATGAAACCAAAAGAACTAAGTACAAAATATATTTGTCTTCCAGATTAAACTTGTATATGTCTGTCATGTTTATGTAATGATGCCAATGATTGTATGGAAGAGCCTAATATTATTTTTGAGTAATATACCTCCAAAATATCATTCTCAAAAAGTCGAGGTCCTTCCTTGCTGACTACAGGCTGGTGAACCCATTCCTCATAAGCTTCTCCAAGATGGCCAACCTGCAAACATTCTTCTAAAATTAAGTAAATAATGAATTTTTTTTTTTTTAATTTCAAATACTTCATCTATAATATTAATGTCACATATTTCCTTCACAAAAACATATATACATATATAACATAATAAACAGAATATAGCAAACAAGTTTCATAAAATGTTACAAGGAGAGAAAACTTATATATATACAACTGACATTTGTTCAAGAAACAAATACAACAAAAGAAAATAAATATAAGCATTACTTTGTCCTATTTCTGTATGCATTCACGTGATTGCATTGTTTGTGAACTGAGAAACGAATGAACACATGTAATTAAACATTAACAAGAGAGATGAAGTTAGACAACTTGACAATTCTTATTAGAGATTGTTAAAATTCATCATGGCAATTGAATATAGTGATATACTAATAAAATCCTCTATCCCCATTTCATACCAATAACTTATGCACAAAATAATATACCAAATCCTAATAAATTAAACCCTGTATGACTACTTCGAAAAACATGTTATAGCCGTATCGAGTAGTTACCGACGTATGGTATTTTGTATTGTACTTCTGTATACGTACCAGATACACGAAACACGTATCTAAATTTTTTCTTCTTAATTTTTGACATACCCAGACGTTCCTAGTATATACCCAAGTTGTGCCGTGTCTTAATTGAAACAATATTTTCTTCTCCTAAAGAGATAAAATTCCTTTCAGTAGACTTATTTTTTTATTTTTTTATTTTATGCATAGCATTATTTTAAAATTAAACTATGATTTGTAAGATATTTAATATATTGACATTTAATTTTGATTTATACATTTACTTTCGACCTTAAATGTTAATTGTATGTTGAATCTTAACAAATAAAACTATTTAATCAATTTTTGCATCATTTTAAATTAAAATAAATATTTTTTTAGAAATGTATCAAGCCGTACCCGTATCTTACTTTTTTTTGAATTTTACTATATTAATGTACATGTATCGTACCAATACTAGTATTCATACTCATACCTGTACTTCATAGATTAAACCCATGAATACAATCCAAAGATTGATAAAAACTATTATGTTTTATATAAATTAAAAATTGTTCAAACGGCCAACTGATAGATAAACAAACAATGATGGAATCTGACCTGAGAAACAAGAGGCTTGTTTAAGTCCACAATGAAATTCTTTGTCACCATGTTGGCACCTTTCAATACAAGTAGACGCAAATTATTATTAATGATGAACAAAAAAAATGAAACCCAAATACACATACCCAAAAAAAAAAAAAAAAGAACAAACCAAGTTAACATATCATAGAGATGCTTGGTATCATTAATGAAAATATTTTTTCAAAGATAAATTACACTTTTACTTCTATACTTTACATCAAATTCCAATTTCATCTCTTATTTCTCAATTAAATAATCAATTCTTACACTTTCAATAAATGATTTCTCATGGGCAAATATTTTTCATTGTATTTTCTCTCTACTATATTTTTTAGTAGTTTAGAAAATATAGTAGAGAGTTTAAGAAATTTTATGTAGGTGGGGAGCACAGGGATCAAACAATTATACATTGTGTATTGTCAAATAAGTTATGAGTGGGGTTGGTTAAATCCATCAAGTTGTGATCTATACAAAAAAATATGATCGGGTTATAGACACGCCCTCAATAGCACATATTTCGGTCATGCTATGAGCATTAAAATGAGTATGGGCGAAACCATTACAGGCCTACTTGTAATTATATTTATTTATGATGGCAAATATGAAACTAGGACTTTACATATATGTGTAAATATGTGGTCACACTTCCCACTCCAAACCCCAGCCTTCATTTCATATTTTTCCCATCGTTGTGTACTTAGACCATTTGTTTGTGCCAAAGTCATGTATAGAGGAAATATTTCGAGAGTTTCATCATTCACGCCTTGTGGTACATCCAGGACACACAAAGATGTATCACAACCCTAGCCGTCAGTTTTGGTGGAGAGGTATGAAGAAGGGTGTAGCCTTGTTTGTTTCGCAGTGCCTACTTTGTCAACAAGTGAAGGTCAAACACCAAAAGTGGGCGGGCTTGTTATAGCCTTTGCCTACAGCTGAGTGGAAGTGGGAATATGTCGCTATGGATTTTGTTGTAGGGCTTCCTAAAACTTAATGGGGGTAATGATGTCGTTTGGGTAGTTGTCGATTGTTTGATTAGTCTACACACTTTATTCCTATGCACACTGGTGACTCAGTGGATTATCTTGCTGAGTTATACATTAGTTACATAGTTCGACTTCATGGGGTTCCGGTAACCATTATTTTGGATAGGGATCCGCATTTCATGACTTGGTTATGGCAGAGCCTTCAAGACGCTTTGGGTACAAAATTGACTTTAGCGCCACCTTGCACCCTCAAACTGATGGGCAATCTAAGTGCACCATCCAAATCTGGGAGGATATACTTCTGGCTTGCGTTCTTGATTTCAAGAGATCTTGAGATAGACACTTACCTTTGATAGAATTTTCCTGTAACAATAGCGTTTAGGCGAGTATCAGGATGGCACCTTTCGAGGCCTTATGTGATCGACTGTGTAGATCACCAGTATGTTGGGCTGAGGTAGGGGACGCACCTATGTTGGATCCGGAGTTGGTTCGAAAGACAACTAAAAAAGTTGCTCTCATCTGACGGTGGTTAGCTATAGCTCAGAGTCATTAGAAAAGCTATGCCGATTGAAGAAGGAGACCTTTATCTTTTGGACTCAGTGATCACATGTTCCTTAAGATTTCACCGAAACAGGGTTTGATGAAATTTGGGAAGAGTGGGAAGCTTTCTTTGAGATTTATTGGGTCTTTTGAGATTCAGAGCGGATTGGAGAGTTAGCTTACCATTTGGCCTTTTGACATGTTTAATATATCTATGCTTCGAGAATATGAGCCTGATCCTTTTCATGTGCTTGATTAGTTCGACTTAAAGATAGATAAGGATACCTCATATGAGGAGAGATCTTTTTAGATTCTAGATACCTGAGAGCAAGTATTAAGGGGCAAGACCATTTCGTTAGTGAAGGTGTTGTGGAGACACAACGGGGTTGAGGAGGCGACTTGGGAATGAAAGGCAGAAGTCTGCTCCAAATATCTTGATTTATTCAAAGGTAATTAGTTTCATTCGAGTATTCGATTTTTTTCAATTGTTATTGCTTTCATTACCTCTCATTTATTTCTTTATTTAATTTTGGAGATAAAATTTCCTAAGGTTTGTGATCTCCCGGGCCATTGACCTAACTTGGTTACACTTTTTTAGACCATTTGTTTTACCTTCGGAGTTTCATGAGTCGTGTAATATCATTGATCGTTGTGATTGCGATTCGCATCTTGTCAAGCCTCCTTAATGCTTTAACAATTAGAAATTGTGAGCTCCATGCGTAAGAACGAGATGAAAAGGGTATTGGAGTGCCTTAGAAAGAAATATGGACCAGCAAGCATTCCAACACATTCGGTTTGTGCAAGAGAAACTTTGGTTTTCTGGGTTGGGGTCCGCATATGTGGTGAGTGGGCCTACACATGTTGAGTGCCAAGCGAAAACACACTGTAGTAAAACCATACGTACGACGGGAGGTTCCCCGCATACAGCCTTTCGTGTTTTCTATTTCGATTGTTGTGCTTAATCCCTCAAATATGATATTGTCACTCCTATTTCCCTCACTTTTCTCTATTCTCTCTCTCTAAACTCTGTTTTCTCTTTACAAACACACCGAACTCTCATAATTTCTCTAATCCAACAAAATCAAATAACATTTTGATACTAGTTCTTAAGGCCAATTTGACGAGCATATCAATGGCTTCGTGTTGACCATAACAGATCAAATTTTCAGCAATGTTGATTTTGGGGCTTTCTTTCATTTCTAAGCTAATACTTGAGGTAAGGATTTTCTTAACGTTGTGTATGTATTTTATCTCTATTATTTGCTATTTTCGAAACCCTTGGAATGTTCATCGCTATGCATATGATTGCAAGTTAAGCTTTGTTTTATCATGTACAAATGGTGCCATGTTTAAACTATGATCTTGTGCTTGGATTTGTTAAAAATTATCGATGTTCATTCATTTACCACTATATTACTATTCATTGGGTAATGACTCACCCCTCTCCCTTATATGTATGTAGGTGATGAAGAGCATAATTACGAAGAGAAGTTTGGTTAGAAGATGGTCTTGTATGCTTTAGTTGGTTTTGTAAAGCTTTATTACAAGGGTTGTATTTTACTTTGTTGTTTAGATCGTGTAATAATGTAAGCTAACAATCCAATAGGAATGTATACTTTCATTTCATATAGGTATGCACTACTCTGAATGAATGTTTAAAATGGACTCAATATAAGCTAAAAATGGCTTCCACACTCAAAAAATGGAAAATTTATCCCAATTATTCTAGAAAGTCCAACTTGTTTTGAAAGTTAGGCCTTTGGTAGTCCATGACTACTGGATGGTCACTGCACTATCCTATTTGGGGCGGGATGGGGTCATGACAGTAAGTGTGAGGCCCCTGACTTTTGTAATTTCTTTTTAAACCCTTACTTTTAAATTATTTTAATAAAGACCATCGATTCCTTATTTGATTTCAATTTTAACTCTAGAGTCGAAAATGTACGCCAATCGAAAACTCGCAAACCCTAATCGAACCTGGGAACTTAGGAATCATTTTCAAAACCCTAATAATAATTAACTAACTCTCCAATTATGGATTTACCTCTCAAAACCCTAGGTTTCTGATTCTCAATACGATTCATCATTTAATTCGAAATGAAGAAACTGTAATCGAATTGAATTCTCGAATACTAATTTAATTAAATACTACACTTAACTAAACATTCCAATTCATATATTAAGGCCTTAGCCCTTACATTTTACTTAAATTACAAATTGACCCTAAGATAGTACCATTATATATATACGTACTTGTACTAATGTCCTTAAACAAATAGGTTTGTACACAAATATCATCACAAAATATAAATTAAAAAAATCAAGAAAAATTCCCCAAATCTAGAAGATATGGCCAGCCACCCCCTAGGCTACAACTATAGGGTACTTTTTTTTTTTTGAAATATATCCCTAAAATAATGGAAAAGATTTTTGACTTTGGTACCAAATTATATATGTTTGTGTGTGTGTGTACATGCATTGTACGTGTAACTAGGATAGTTTAATTCAGAGAAAAGCCTAACAAGATCATGTTTAAGTACATAATTAAGGTTCCTAATCATCCACTATTCCATTTCATCATAACTAAATCCAAAAATATTCAATTGAATTGGAACCAAGGGCAAAATAGTCTTTTTTTTTTATCACTTTTTCTCTATAAATATCCCACTCACCTCCACATTTTGAACACAAACACACACTCATACACTCATATACACGGTTGAAGGAGAGGAAGAGAGAGAGAGAGAGAGTTGTGGTGGAGAGGAAATCAAAGAAACATTGTGTAAACATCTCACATAGGCAACAAGTAAGTGACATTACCACCCTTCCTTCTATTTTCTCTTTCAAATACATGTTCTTGGAGGTTTTAAATATTTTTTCAGAGGTGTTTTAATGGTGTTCTTGTGTTAAAAACGAAAAGAGTTTAGTCTTGTTCCACCCTTGTGTTTTCTCTTAATAGACACAAAACTGTCTTTTTTGACACTTATCTCACATGAATTCCAAAGGCACCCCTTGAATCTCAAATTATGAGTTTATGATATATTATTTAGCATGTTTTCATCAGAATAGAAGTGAAAAATTATCTATGGTTACCCTTTTTTCTTACTTTTTCTCTTCTTTCAAGTTTTGTGCTTAAATAATCGTCATTTATAGCCCACTCAAAAAAATTTTAGGAAAATGCAGAAAAAGATCTTTAACCTCATTTTTATGTAAAAACCTTCCTTTAAGTGTTAGCCTTCATGGATTTTTATTTATTTTTTTTATCAAAAAAGGGTGAGCGGTTTGAGAGAAAAACAGTTGATGAATCCAAACAGCACTGGAGTATTTATTAAATAACTAAAAATCTAGGAAAGCTATTCCACTTTTGAAAAATATTTTGAAAACTAGATAAAATTCTCTACAAACCATGTGAAGGCTAAGTTCGGTAAAAATTTAAAAATGTCTCTTTAATTATTAAAGTGTATCCAATCTAGAAATTATGTTTGGTGATGATTTCATGCTTTTAATTTGAT